CAGCAAAGAGTGCTACTACCACTACCACTTTTGCTCGAACTTCCACCACCAGCGGCAAACGAGGCCTCAGCCTGAAGGGCAGCACCAGCACCAGCGCCGGCCGTCGCTTCACCACCGCCGCCTCGATGCTGCTGCGAAAGAAGTCGCTCACTTCGGCGGCGCCCAAAACTCCGCTGAAGAGCGGCGCCAACAACAACAAAGGTGACGCACTGAGCAATGGTGCAGCAGTCAATGGCGGTCCCAGCCGCCCCTCGCCCTACCTCGGCCTCTCCGTGCTGAACGCCCACTTCATGTCCAAGTACTGCCGCAACTACACGCCCCCCACGGCGGCCGCCTCCTCGGCGCTGAAGAAGCAGCGGCCGAAGGCGACGGTCCCCGTGTCGCCCAATCTGCACACCTCGACGCGCTGTACGATGCGCAAGGCGCACACCATGCCCAATGTCTCGGCTGCTGCTCCAAAGCCTGCTCCAGTGGTGGTGGCTCGAAAGCCACTTCCGGCCAAGCCAATGGCTAAGCCGGCGCCAACCACCGCCCCCGCTGCCTTTGTGCCCACCAAGGCGATCACGCCCAAGTTCAGCACCGAGGCCCGTCTGAAGCTGTGGCACGTGAAGCACGGGGACCAGGCTGATGGTGGTGCTGCTGCTCCTGGTGGTAAGGGTGGTGGCCTTCTCTTCAAGGCCCGCCCGATGCCCAACTTCAAGCGGATGCAGGCGGCGGCGGCGAAGCAGGCAGCGGCCGCCATTGAGAAGGGCAAGCACGCGGTGAAGCCCATTCACCAGGAGAAGAAGTAGAAGTAGAGTGGAGAAAGAGGTAAGTTCTGCTGCAGCTTTTAGATTTGTCCTCAACTAATGCCACTTCTATAGATTCAGCCTGGTTTCCCCTCCTATCACCACCACCATCCCTTTGTACATAGAAGCTTGTCCACTTTTAAAAAAAACTTGAAGACTTTTCTTTTTTTCATTTCATTCTATCCTTCCCTCTCCCCATTATTGCTTTTTATTTGTTCCCGAGCACACACTACCATTACCACCACCCTCACCACCATTACCATTACCATTGCTGCTTTGACCACTATCAAATAGAATATAAAAAATAAAAACAATTTGTGTGTGGGGAAATTTTAGAACTCTGCTGTGTATTGCTGAAAATTTTGTGCAAAGTTTTGGAAGGCTAAAATCATTTGTTGATGAGGAAGTTCCGTCTCGTGATTTTGTTTCTGCTTATCATCAGTGTTACCTCATCAACTTTGTCTGAGGATGAAGAAGAGGAAAAGGAAAAGTCCCTGGCCAAGTTCAAGACCGCCTTTGTGCGGTACTTTGCACCTCTAAGCTCAACTCCTAACCATCATCTCCACCACCTTCCACCCTCGATTCTGGAGGAGTTTATCGCGAATGCAAAGGCGCGGAATCAAAGTCAACTGACCGCCCTCTGGCAGGAGGTGCAGTCGGCGGTGGAGGTCCAACGACGACTGTACCGGGCCATGGTCAAGGTCAGGGCGAAGATCATCGGGAGGATGTTAGGGCGAAAAAAAGAACCCAAGAAATCTGCTCGAGCACTTCACCTACGACAGTGGACACTGGTTCGAGGGGAGCTCAGGTGGGCGGAGGAGGAGACGGCCCGGAAGGTGATGCAGCTGTAAGTGCTACTAAAGGAAGAACAACTACTTTTCAAACTCATTTTCTAAACATTTCCTTTCCGCAGAAAGCAGTTCTACTTTGAGCTCCTTTTTAAGGAGGAAAAGAAAAGGAGGAGGAAGAAGAAGAAGGATAATCCCCTTATCAACAACTACTGGACCTGGACTCTTATCACCGGACAGCTGCTGATGGACGTCCTGGCCATTGGAGCCTGGCGCTACGACACCGCCTACCGAGCGAGGCAGTGGAAGACGATAAGTCTGGCTGAAGATAAGCCTGAAGAGGAGGAGGATTTAGAATCGAGGATGACAACTATAGCAGAAGCCTAAGCTTTTTAGAACAGCGTTTATTTTCTCAGCTCATGTTTTTGTGTGTTTTTTTGGAGCAGAACAGAATGGCTTTTGTTTGTTTGTTTGTCACAGGAATTTGACTGTGTTTTTTAGGACAACCGGATTGCATTGAGGAATGAAATGGAACGATTTGGAGTGATCGGGTCTAGAAGAGGATAATGATGATGATGATGATGATGGAAATCGTTACAGCTGTCTACTACATCAAGTCTGACTGGTTTTGTTTTGATTTTTGTTTTGACTTTTTCGATGTTCTATTTGCTCAACATGACACCTACTTGAAAAGACGGGTTTCCTGAGCTCGGTGGGCGTGTGTTGGTTGGTTAGGTGTTCGTTAGGTGGACAGTGTTAGGCCTGTCTAGGGAAAGACGCCACCGCCGGCGCCATTGGCGGGGCCAGTGTGGGCTCGCATCGCATTACGGTCAGCTCTAAGGGGGGTGGGGTGGAAATAGTGGGAGTTACAGTGGGAGTTTAGTGGAAATGTTTGTGAGGTGAATTGTTGGGGATGTGTATTATTACTTGGACCCGAGGACCAGGCGGCCGTAGATGGCGAAGATGGCGGTGTTGGTGATGGCGCCCAGGATGAAGAAGGCGCCCAGGGGAATGCCGGTGATCAGCGAGCAGAGGATGAAGGGCAGCAGCGTCAGCCTGGTGGGAATAAGAGGAAGAGTTAATTTCGAAATTAAAGATACTAAAACCAAGATAATTATGCTTACGTCAGGTAAAGGACCGACTTGAGCCAGAAGGGCTTCCGGTCGACCCAGCTGCCGATGGGCTGGGCAAAGCCGAGACAGGGCACAAAGACGGGCGCCTCGATGGAGAGGATGACCAGGGCGCATAGACTAAAGAAAGGGGAAGAAGTTGATGAATACGAAATAATGTAAACAAAGCAAAACTAGCAAACAAACNTGCTAAAGAAAAAAAGTTGATGAATACGAAATAATGTAAACAAAGCAAAACTAGCAAACAAACATTGCACACTTACATCTGCAAGACACCGCCGAAGATGTAGGCGGGCGTCACGCTGATNGGAGTGAAGGGGATGATGATAAAATGAGGATGTTAGGCTTTAGAAAGAAAAAAGTTTTAGAAAAAGACTTACCAGGACGATTGAACCGGTTGCTGCTGTGGTGGCTGATCCATTTGAACCTCTTTCACATTTGGATACATGATGATCTGTTTGGTAGGGGAACTAAAAAGTTCTTGTTGTTTTGTTTCGGTGTTTTGGTTTTCTAGAACCGTTCTCCGGCGAGTTTTTCACGCTTTTTGGAAGGAAGGACGGACAAACACACAAACACACACACTCGCTCAAATTGCTTTTGCTGCC